GGGTGGCTGGGGATGCTGCACTGATGCACGGGCATTGGGGGTCGCGGAGGGGTGGCATGAGGCTGGGGTCCCAGGAGGGATGTGTAGGGTCTAGGGGCTCTCAGGTAGGAGGGCTGGGACACGGTAGGAGGTTGGGGATCTTGGCAGAGGTCCCAGAGAGGGGAGAGTGGGTCTGTACTGGGAGCAGGGAGAAGATGAGGGTGGGGGTGAATGTACAATACAAGGAGTTAAGTAAGGGGAAGGCGATGCTGGCAGAGGGGAGGGATTGGATGGGGAGCACCCCTGCACCCGTGGGGCGATGCCAGGATGAGCAGCAGACTGGGGCCAGCGGAGAACTGGGTGGCATGAGGAGGGGTCCTGCGAGGCCAGGGCTACCCTGAGGTCCCCACGCTGGGCAGGGTGAGCGCCATGCCTTGGCTCCCCCATGCTGCGGGGCAGAGGCAGTGTGGAGCTGGGGACCCTTCCCCAGTGCCTGTAGTCTGCGGGACCAGGAGCCAGGCCTGGGTGGCAGAGGCCTGTGCAGAGTCACCCCTACCCGCAGGCTGCCTGACAACCACACGGCCCTTGCGATGGGGTGGCAGGCCCAGACTAGCACAAGGCAAAGGCTCAGAGCGTTGTCCTGGTGCCCCTGGGTGGCAAAGGCTGCCGCAAGCAGGGCCGTGGCAGGGGGGAAAGGCGGCCGGGCAGGTGGCCAGATGGTGCCCAGGAAGGCAGAGGAGGAGGAGACAGAGGTGTTTTGTTTTCTTTTGTCAACACTTCCTCATACGGATGAAGCAAGGAATGGGTTTTGCGGGCAGGGAGCCAGGTGACATATCCAGCGCCCTGGAGCTCAGACTGGCAGCGGCCGGGAGGAGCGTGCAGGATCGGGGCCTCCCCAGCACCGGCAGAGCACAGAGCGGTGCTGTCTGGGGAAGGGGCTGTCGCAGGGGAGCAGGGTCTGCGTGAGCCAGCACAGGAGGACCCTGCTGCTCCCTCCTGCTCCCAGCACGCCCCGGCTTTGCAGGTTCCTGTGGGCTCCGGAGCCTCTTTACCTGGGAGCTCTGACTTGTCTCGCGGGCCTGCTGCCCAGGGCCTGCGCCCTGCCAGGTTCAGGCTGTGAGCAGATGCCGGCAGGCTGCTTTAAGCCCGAGAGGCGGCTGCCTG